TCTAAGAATTCTCTTAGAAATAAGCATAAATTATTATTGCTCAAACTTTGGTCAAGGCAGCTTGTAATTTATCTTAAAGAAAAAACCAAATGTCACTACTCATATAAAATTTACAACTTTTCATGGTTAGAGACATAAAATATTTTAAGGTTCACTTACTCTGTGTACACCAATAAAACACAAACTGTAATTTATGGGGCCATGGTCAATATAGAAACCTCCAGATGGAAGGAAATAACCCTAGTAAGTTATGCTTTATCTTTCTATATGTCTATACCCCTATGTTAATGTGTTAGGTGTAATGGGTGCAAGTAGTGGGTTTTATTTGGGAATTTACAATTTTTATGTACAGTTTGTAGGTTGGAGGAAAAGTTAAAGACAATCATGATTAAAGAAGATGCAATAGATAATGAGAAATGTAGATTGTGGGAAATGGCAGCAGGATTTCAGAAGGAACTTAAGCTTTTACATGCATGGGATACATCAGCTAACAATGACTTTAAGGAAGTTAGAAAGAGCACTGTTAGGGCTAAAAGTGGTGAATTTAGTCATAATGAGCCTATTCTGTTGAGCAACAAATTTCAGCCCTTGACTGGGGAACTATAGGAGGGAAGAAAAACGAAAGGGTCAGAGAAGGATGTGGATGATAAGGAAGTTATAGTTATATCCACATTCCTTGATAAGGCATGTGGATATAATAGTCTGTGGGGTAAATAGGGAGAAAAAAAAATCAGATTATGCTACCCAGGGGCACAGGTGGAGGATATAATAGAGCAAGAGATATAACAAAGGAGGCTAGCAGAGATGCAGTTTTTGTAATGCATGTAGGGGCTAATGATGTAGGGAAAGGTAGGCCAGAGGAGCTAATTAATAAGCATAAGGGGTTGATAAAGGCACTTAAAGAAAATGGCCATAAATTAATTTTGTCAGGGATACTGTTCAGAATTAACTGTGAGGATAACGTAAATAACCCGCCCACTGGTTTACTCCGCACCTTAGGAAAAACAATGCTCCAAGAAACTTTTAAGCA